TGTGATGAGAAGCTGGCACTACCCACAGCAGCCCTGTATGGACTGCGGCTGGAGAGAGAGGCTGGTGAAGGGTGGGCAAGTGAGGCAGCCAAGCCTCTCCTGCACCCAGTACGGCCTGGGCCCCCGTTGCCTCTGCTAGTGCCCACCTGTGGGCATCACCATGCCCCAGTGCCTGAGTACAGCTGCCTGAAGCCACCCAGGGCAGGTGAGGAAGGGCACGAGGGCTGTTCCTACACCATGTGCCCTGAGGGCAGGTATGGGCATCCAGGGTGCCCTGCCCTGGTGACGTACAGCTGTGGAGGAGCAGTTCCCACTTACTGCCCAGCATATGGTCGGGTGCCTCACAGCTGTGGATCTCCAGGCGAGGGCAGAGGGTATCCCAGCCCTGGTACCCACTCCCCACGGGCTGGCTCCATCTCCCCGGGCAGCCCGCCCTACCCACAATCCAGGAAGCTGAGCTACGAGATCCCTGCGGAGGAAGGAGGGAGCAGGTACCCACTGCCTGGGCACCTCGCCTCAGCAGGACCCTTGGCCTCTGCAGGTGCGAGCACTGAAGTGGGGAGTCCCCAGAGCAGAGGAGGGTTCTGGAAGATGGTAGAGAGGTCAAGGGGCACAGGGTGAGAAAGAACTAAACCTTCTGGGCCGGGGCTCACAACCCCACCACTTGCCTTCACTTGCAGAGTCACCAGAGCCAGTGTCCTGGAGGGAGGGCCCCAGTGGGCATAGCACGCTGCCTCGGTCTCCCCAAGATCCCCAGGGCAGTGCCTCTTCAGAGTTGTCTGGTCCCTCCATACCCCTGCACACCAGCAGCCCAGTCCAGGGCAAGGAAAGGTATGCAGGGGCCAGGCCTGCTCCGGTGCTGCTTTGTCTAGTGAACAACGAAGGCTGGGAGGGAGCAGCTCACAGTGGGGGCTTGCTGACCATCTTCTCTTCCACCCTGCAGCACCCGACGACAAGACACCAGGTCCCCCACCTTGGCGCCCATGCAGAGACTGAGTCCTGGCGAGGGCTTGCCCTCTGTTCCCCAAGGAGGTGCTGGAAAGGCTCCTGAGCTGCCAGCAAGAAATGGGCCTGAGCCTGCAGCCTCTGGCCTCTGCTCCCCAACCTCCACTCCCAGCTCACCTGCTGATTGGCCTCAGGAAAGGAGCCCAGGGGGCCACTCAGACACTGCCAGTCCCCAGGGACCCGTGCCTACCACACTGCCTGGCCTCCGCCACACCCCCTGGCAGAGCCCTCGAGGCCCCCCAGACAGCCCAGATGGGTCCCCCCTCACTCCTGTGCCTACCCAGATGCCCTGGCTTGTGACCAGCCCAGAGCCCCCTCAGAGCTCACCCACACCTGCCTTCCCCCTGGCTGCCGCTTATGATACCAATGGCCCTACTCAGCCCCCACTTCCTGAGAAACGCCACCTGCTGGGGCCTGGGCAACAGACAGGACCCTGGGGCCCAGAGCAGGCTTCACCACCAGCCAGAGGCACCAATCACCATGTTACCTTCGCACCTCTGCTTCCAGATAGTGCCCCTCAAGCCCCAGGTATAAAGGCATTTAAGAAGTTGGGACCACCTCGAAAGAACCCTTTCTCTTGTGGAGGGGCATGGAGAACCTTGGGGTCTGAATCAGTCCCTCCCTGTCCTAGAGCCCCCCATGCAAGAGAGCCAAAGCAATGTAAAGTTTGTCCAAGATACATCTAAGTTCTGGTACAAGCCACACCTGTCCCGTGACCAAGGTGAGAACAAGCATGCCCTCCCCATCCCCACCCTCCAGGGCTCTGTCTTGACTTTTAGGTCCTATCCTGGATGAAATCCTTGTCCCCGCCCATCTCAGCTGTGTTTACCTTGACTAAGCCTCCCACCAGCAGGTGATTCTGGGCTTTGGGCCCAAGACTCATCATTGTCAAAGCCCCTGTGAACGCGAAAGTTCTGTTTCCAGACTCCTGCCACAACTGTCAGGGCAAAAGAGGAGCCAGGCTGCATGAGGCACTGTGAAAAACCTCTCTTCTCTCCACCCCTCTGCAGCCATTGCCTTGCTGAAAGACAAGGACCCTGGGGCCTTCTTGATCAGGGACAGTCATTCATTCCAAGGAGCTTATGGGCTAGCCCTCAAAGTGGCCACACCTCCACCCAGTGCTCAGCCCTGGAAAGGTATAGAATGCCAAGCTGGGCACCTATAACTCACATGCTCCAGGGCTAGTGGGTTTGAATCCAACCCAGGTCTGCTAAACAACAAAAAACATAGCCAGGCGTTGTGGTGGGCATCTATAGTCCCAGCAACTAGGGACGCTGAGACGAGAGAATTGCTTGAGCCCAAGAGTTTGAGGTTGCTGTGAGCTATGACATCATGGCACTATACTAAGGGTGACAAAGTGAAACTCTGTCTCAGTAAAAAAAAAAAAAAGTGCCCAGATCTAAGCAAGATGATAGGGCCAGAGGAAGAGGAGGGGATGGGAACCATACCACTTTGTGGTTGGGAGAAGCAGGAAAAGACCTCAGCTGCTCAGGAAAGAATTCATCAGGGAAGAAGCTAGGAATCTGATAAAGCCTTACTTTTCCCTCCCCCCTCTCCTCTTAGGGGACCCCTTGGAACAGCTGGTCCGCCATTTCCTCATTGAGACTGGGCCCAAAGGGGTGAAGATCAAGGGCTGTCCTAGTGAGCCCTACTTTGGTGAGCAGCAGGAGTCCAGGGAAGGCTACACTGGGTTGCTGTAGGGTGAGGCCCAGGGGTCTCAGGAGGGTGGAAGGGAGAGCTGAGGCATCTTTGGGCACCCCAGGACCTTTTTCACATCCTCCCCCACAGGCAGCCTGTCCGCCCTGGTCTCCCAGCACTCCATCTCCCCCATCTCTCTGCCCTGCTGCCTACGCATTCCCAGTAAAGGTGTGTGTCTGGTAACATGTCCTTCCCACCTCCTCTAGCCCTGAAACCAAAGGCAGAATCCAGAGTTCCTGGCTCCCAGCCTTTGCTTTGGGGGTGGCAGAGGGTGTTCTCCAGCCCCCATGGAACTCCTCTCTTTAACCTTCCCTGCTGGCCCTCATTTCCTTTAGATCCTCTGGAAGAGACCCCAGAGGCTCCAGTGCCTTCCAACATGAGCACAGCGGCGGACCTCCTACGTCAGGGTGCTGGTGAGACCTCTCCCTCCCCTCCCTCTCCATGGACACTGAGGGAGCAATACAGATATGGGGCATGGGCACTGGGAGGCCTTGAGGTGGGTGGGACCTGGTAGGTGCATTTAACCTGTGAAGATACTGGTGGAGGTCAGGAAGAGGGTCCTTAATCTAGGTTCCCAAAGTCCTGTGATGGTGAGGATCATGGGAGCCTGGGGGCTGGTTAGGATGCAGATTCTCAGGCCTCTTTCCAGTGCTTCTGACTATAGTCTGGTAGGATCTGCTTTAGACAAGTCACCTGTGTGATTCTAATGCATCTCAGAGCGCTAGCTAGAGAATGGGTAAGAAAGCTAGTGGAGGACTAGAGGACTGGCACTCCTCTCTCCGCCCGACCAACTCCATGCCCCTGCAGCCTGCAGCGTACTCTACCTGACCTCAGTGGAGACAGAATCACTTACAGGCCCCCAAGCTGTGGCCCGGGCCAGTTCTGCAGCTCTGAGCTGCACCCCCCGCCCAACACCAGCCGTTGTCCACTTCAAGGTCTCAGCCCAGGGCATTACACTGACTGACAACCAAAGGAAGTGAGTCCATATGCCCTGCCCTATGTGGGGTCCCTGCAGAACCCCAACTTAAAGAGCCTTCAGGCCCCTTTCTGAGCGTGACCCTTGCCATCCTTGCAGGCTATTCTTTCGCCGCCATTATCCAGTGAACAGCATCACCTTCTCCAGCACAGACCCTCAGGACCGGAGGTGACCCTACCTCTAAACCCTTTGCCCCATGCCAGGGTCTCACCAGGCCCCAGTCCCAACTCCTTCAGCAGCTGTTCCTTTGGGTGCACTCTTTCACACTTCTTCTTCTACAGATGGACCAACCCAGACGGGACCACCTCCAAGTAAGCCTTCCCATGAGTCCAATCTCTTCCCTCCAAGGAATCAGGGCATCTCCATCTTCCCCAACCCTGGCATTTGAGTCAGCTCACCAAGACCAGCTACATTCCTTTGTGCAAGTAATGGTAAGGGCATGGCCCACCCTGGCTTTGTCCCCATAGGATCTTTGGTTTCGTGGCCAAGAAGCCGGGAAGCCCCTGGGAGAATGTGTGTCACCTCTTTGCAGAGCTTGACCCAGATCAGCCTGCAGGCGCCATTGTCACCTTCATCACCAAAGTTCTTCTGGGCCAGAGAAAATGAAGAAAGGCCACAAGCTAGGAGCCCACGTCAACACTATGCCCCTCCCAGCACCCCACAGCCCTCACTTCCCAGGCCTGTATCCAGGAGACCCAGGAGCTAGCACCCTCCCTAAGGAAAGGGAGTGAGCATTGGCCTGCTCTCCTTCCCCGCCCCCAGCCTGCTAAGCTAAGTGGACAGGCCCATGAGATGACCTTGCATGTGAGCAGATGGCAGAGAGGGGCGTGTGAGGGGTGAGGAGGCATTATTAGCAGTTGCCTGCAGGAGAAATCAGCCTTCCGGAAGTCAGGCCCTGCCCAATCCACCCAGGTCCAGTTCCCAGGATGGCAGGGAGTGGGGAGAGAGAAGGGGTACAAGTCATTCCTTCTTCTGCCTCCCCCAAACAGAGATAAGAGTGGGATCACATGAATAGGGGGAAAAAGAGAGTCTATTTTTGTCTAATAATAAAGAATTTCTATAAACTTTAGTCAAAGTTGGAGTCATACCTTATTCTCAGGAAGGTGGAGGCCTCTTGTCCCCCAGGGGCATATGTCTGCTTCCTGGAGACATCCCAGGCCCCAGGCCCACAGCTAGGTCCATGGAACGAACATATGTGATTCCCATCCCTGGCCTAACACTGGTATGAATCTCCTATGAGGAAACTGCCTTTGGCTCCCTCCTATCCTCTGGCCCCATCCCTAGCCCTAGGTACCAGAAAGGATTCCGATTCCAGCCTTACTGATAAATACAGAAACTCCATCTTTACCAGCTGTATAAACATCTCTGTCCTGTACATACATGTCATATATCATACTGCAGGGCCTGAAGAGAGGCCAGAGGAGGCTCCAGTAGCACCACCGATCACCTGCTTTCTCCACTGCCTCGCCCACTCTGTGCAAACCAAGGCTAACAGTCCCTGCTGCCTCTTCCTCCTGGGAGAAGTCATGGCTATGGGGAGGGTCAAGGGGATAGAAGGAGATATAAGGGTTTGGTAGGGGCAGAAATACATAGGTGCTAGAATCCAACACTGAAGCAAAACAGGCAAGTGGGACAAGCAGCAAGCTGGGGCACCAGGGTGGGAGTAGGGGCTGGACAAGAGAATGAGGGGCCCAGCTGCCCTTCTGGGCTTAGCTCAGGCCCTGGGCTGGCACTCACGCTACAGCAGGGGAAACATGCCCCAGAGCCTTAGCCTCCATCCTAGGGAGATAGAGACGTGTCAGGTGACCAGGAGATGAAAGGGGGAGAGAAGTAAAGGTCCCAGGGCCCTGCCACCTCATAGCCCCTCTCTCGTAACCATGCAACAGGTATCCACCGGGGAGCCAAAGATTCTCTGGGTGCCTGAGCAGGTGAGGGCAAGGAAGCCAGCTCTTGCAGGAAAGAAAAGAGACCCTAGAGAATTTCATGTGGCAGTAGCCACTGAAGGTAGAGAGACAGCCCAAGAGAGGCCCCAGAACCCTGCCAGGGGGATGACAGCAGCAACCAGTTCCCACCAGGAGGACAGGGAACAAAAAGGAAGAGTCCAAGTAAAAATACTGTAGCAAGTAGGGGAGAGGGCTATCTCCTCATCACCCTCTACAAAGCATCATGCCCAAACAGCAGCTGAGACAGGTGTCCACTCCTCCCCATTCATACAGAGCCAGCCAGGGAAAGGGGATCCTAATGCCCACTCACCCAAGCAAGCAGGACCCACCCAGTGTTAACAGCATTCTCTGGGGCTGTTCTCAGGCCCAGGGACTGATGAGAGGGGAGGCAGGAGGTCAGAAATGTGAGTACAGAGAAGCCTGAGGAGCCTGAGCTGGGAGGGGCAGAGCGACTATGCACCCCCAGGCCTGCTGGCTGAGCACATCCTCGGGGAAGTCAGGAGTTGAGTCCGTGGTTCGCAGAGGGTGAGGAGAGAGGAGGCAGTAGGGAGGCCTAGCCACTTAGGGGGTGCAGGTCTACTTTGACTTTCTCCCCACAGCTCAGCATGCCAATGGTGGGGAAGAAGCCTCCAGAAGGTACAACAGCATCCTTCTTCCCGATGATCTTGCCGTTCCTAGTGAAGAATACCTAGGGTGGTATTGGGGAGAAAATAGAACAGAGAAGAGTTTCCTGCCTCTTCTCTGACCAGCAACACAGGCCCAACCCTGCCACTCCCAGCTCCCAGCAGGGGCTCAGTTAGGATGAAAATGGAATCGACCACAAGAGGGCGTCCTGAGGCTGGGAAAACAGTCTCCAACCAAGCCCCCCGACATCAGCAGCCCCTACCACCCCAGAAGACCTTCCATGGCAGGGCCAGACCCTCTCTCTTTCCTACTCTGCAAGGAAGATGACAGACTTAAAAACCCAGTCCCACCCTACTCACCACCACCTTTTTGCCCTCATGCTCTGGCTCTATCTCTTCTCCATCATCTTCCTCTTCCTCTTCCTCCTCTTCTTCTTCTCCTTCCTGGTGCAGGTACATGACGTTCCGAACATTCCTGACAGCCCGGGCAGTCGGTGACAGGATCACTGTGTCACAGCTGTCATCACTGTCTCCTAGGAGACCAGGAAACCTGAGCTCCTATGGTACTCCCCCACCCACTGCCCTGAGCAGCCTAGCTGGCCCATCTTACTCACCCTCACTGTCCAGGATGTAGTCCCGGGGGAACATGATTCCACAGCCCATAATATCCCCTTTGTAACAGCGTGGCCCAAAGGGGTCTCCCACGCCACTGCCGTGGAAGATCTTCCCGTCATCTGTTGGAGGGAGGGGAGAGGACAGACTTGAAGAAGGAAGAGGTGACACTGCACCCCGGCCCCCACTGCGTGGTCCCTGCTTGAGGTTGAACACTTCTCTGCCCCCCTCACCAGCTCTGAGGAAGGAAAGGGACAAGGTGAAACAAAAATGAGAAATATGTGGAAATGAGGCACCAAATTAAAAAAAGAAACACAGTATCCCTCATTCCAGGGGCTAAAAGGGAGACTCCTTCAAGGAACTAGTGGGAAGAAAGGAGAGAACCCTTAAAGAAGGAATGACAACCAGAGGGGGAAGGTAGAGGTGGGGCCAAGAACTCAAGGCTTGCTTCTCTTCTTTTTTTTTTTTTTTTCTTTTTTTGAGATGGAGCCTCAAGCTATCCCCCTGGGTAGAGTGCCATGGCATCACGCTCACAGCAACCTCCAACTCCTGGGCTCAAGCGAGTCTCCTGCCTCAGCCTCCCAAGTAGCTGGGACTACAGGTGCCCGCCACAACGCCTGGCCATTTTTTTTTTTGGTTGCAGCCATCATTGTTGTTTGGCGGGCCTGGGCTGGGGATTCAAACCCACCACCTTAGGTGTATGTGGCTGGCGCCTTAGCCGCTTGAGCCACTGGCGCCGAGCCTGCTTCTCTTCTTAAGAAAGCCCTAAAGGAAATCAAGCCGACCAAAAAAAGAAAATGAAGAATCTGCAGGATCTGCAGGATCCGCAGGAAGGGCACAGAGGGAGCCAACTCAGAGGCCAGGAATGTCCAGTTTGGGCACAGATCTCCAGCGCCTATCCTTTGGCTTGTGGGAGGAGGGGGCATTAGCCAGCAGCAGGGAAAGAAGAGACGCCATGTGTGAGGGGACCAAGAAAATGGTGTCCCTAAATCTCCACAGTCCCCCTTTCCCAGGGAAGCCCTCTATTCACCTGCATGATAAGCCACAGACCCTCTGCTCCAGCCAGGGTGCCTGTTCTTGGGATAATCCTGCACCAAGAAGAAAAAAGAAAATCTGTGGTCCCACACACACAAAGAGGACAGGACAGAGTAGAGAGTACGGTCTGAATATTCAATCTTTGGGTATAGGCTTATAACCCAGACAATGGCTCACCACCGGTTCACAGTCCTACAGCCTCTCACATCCTACAGGTGCTGGGCTTGCCAGGGAAGGGACAGTGAGGAAGGTGTCAAGCTTTCAAGGCCAGGGCCTCAGGCTGTCTCACCCCACCCCTACCCCAGGCTGTCTGAGGCTCCTGATCACATGGGGTCTGTACTCACATATAATATGGGTTCTGTCTCAAAGTAAGATCCTCCTTCCATAGCCCAGGCCACCCTGGTTTCCTCAAGAGCTTCCTGGCCCATCTCAATAGCCCTAGAGCTGAGCAGAAAGGCCCAGCACTCGCACTCACCTTCCGAGCCAGCCCCAAGGCGATATAGCATTTCTCTCCAGGGTCCACAATCTCCACCTCAAAGTAGTGGCTGCGGGTGCTCAGTGGATGCCGGGCCTGGGCCAGCCCCACATCCACAATGCTCTTGCCCTTCCCCAAGTACTCCAGCAGCTGTGGGAGGAGAGGCAGGTGGGGGTCAAGGACAGGCTGCCATACACCCTGGAATCCTGGTCCCAAGGCAGTCTGGTACCAGTTTCCCAAGCTAACAAAAACCACAGGCTGAAAGAGAAAGAATCCTTGAGGTACAACTCAAAGCTCTAGGCAAGCATGGAAGAACATGAGTGGGGTAGACAAGAAAGGAGCAGGAGCAAAGAGACCTCCAAGCCCTTCCAGGAAGCCGGGAGCAGCAGCAAGCCAGAGGCATGGGTAGAGGCAGGGATCCCAGCCATCATCACCTCCCTGAAGAACCTGCTGGCCCTTCTCTGCTAGGAAAAGTCCACCCCAGGGGCCCTGAACACAGAGAAAAGGAGAAGTGAAGACCAGGCTGTGAGGAAACTGGACAACTTTCTCAGGGAGCCCAAGGAGGGAGGGAGGATGCAGAAGTTGGGTGTCAATCTAAGAGTTTGGGGAAGGGGCTGAGCTCTTAAACACATACTGCTTGGGTTGGGTCTGACGTGACTTCTCAAGGTCCTTGTTTTACCTTGAACAAAGTGTTCACAGCTGGGGCAGGAAGGTTCTGAGGGGAACCAAGGGACCCAGAATGACCAACTCTGCTCCTTCATTTCATGTGAGGATTGGGGAGTAAAGACAGAGGCAGGCTTTCTGGTCCCCAGTCCTTTGCTGCCCTTTCCAGTTAGAGTAAGGGTGTGGAGGGAGGAGAGGAGAGATGACTGATGGGTTCTTGGGGCTCTTCAGCCCTACAATGGTTCTGCCTGGGCATGACAGGGCGGCAACCCCCAATCTGGGAGGATTTATTTGTCAGTTGTCATGACAATAGTGGGACTATGACTCACCCCATCCGTCCATCCACCACCCTCAGCATCACCTGGGATTCCTTAATCCCCTTTTAATTAGCATAAGTGCCCTGCAAGCCTTTCTTCTACCCTCCTACCCCTGCAGCCCTGAAAAAAACATGCTCCCTGGGGCTCTTCTCTACATCTCCCTGGCAAGGCTTGGGATCCTAGCCTCTCACCTCCCAAAGATTCCTGCCTGAACAGGAAAGAAGTTACACTCCCTGCACCAGCACGGAAGCTGGTACATGTCCCCAGCAGAGGCTGGACCTGCACCCTGACTATCCCTTCAGAGAGTGGGATCAGCAAGTCTTGGTGCCCTGCTCAGCCCTGGATCCCCAAAGCCTGCCTCCTCAAGCCCATTCTCCTCTCCTGTTCAAAGAGAATTGGAGGCAAGTCGGGAGAAGAGATGTACAGAGACCACTAAGTCCACACCCTATGAATCGTGGTGGTTCTCCATGTGCTCTCTGCTCAGCCTGGTTCCTCCTGTTTCTTCCCAGCAAAGAGGGCAGGGTGTGACTTGATGCATAACTAGTTTATACTTCACCCAGTCAGAGCAGCCCCCAGCCCACCCTCTCCACCAGCATTGCAGAACTGGGTGGGGGACCCCACAGCTGCCCTTGACCCACTCTATCCAACTGGCCTCAGTGTAGGAAACATAGTGTTCTCCAGTTCCAGAGCCAAAAGGCAACTGATCCAGAGCCTGATCCTTGGGAAAAACCCGCCCAGCCATTTGCGCTGCCTTAGCCCAGAGGAGGGTAGCTGCTGAGCTTTGTCTAAGGATACGGTGGAGTGCTTCCCTAAGCTGGAGATCCAGGACGGACTGCACTAACATGGAACTCAGAAATCCCCTCTTTGCAACCCTCCCACAGAGCACTGCTGAATGGAGGACTAGATCCCAGTATAGTGTGCCCTGCTCAAAAGAGGAACCGCTCAGCCTTCAAGGCAAAAGCAAGCAGAAAACATCTGATGTACTCTCCTGCCTTCTCAGAGCACTGAGAGGGGTGCAAGTGAGGGGGAAGTGTAGCCCCCCTCAGAGATGCTTTCACAACTACATCTCTCCCCCTCCTTGACCTACAGTCCCCAGAGGGGTAGGGATCTTGATGCTAGCCCCTCAATTTGTGTCTCTATAAATATCCATTAGTTTAAAAGGGAACCCATAGACACAGGTTCAAATCCTAATTCCTCTTACTCAGTTACCACTGACCTTGAGTAAATTAAGGGATAATAAGGATAACACTGCCTGCATCTCCAAAAAACAGGTGGGAAGGCCAGGCAAGATGGATCATGCCTGTAATCCTAGCACTCTGGGAAGCCAAGGCAGATGGATCACCTGAGCTAATGGGTTCGAGACCAGTCTGAGCAAGAGCGAGACCTCCCATCTCTAAAAATAGCTGGGTATTGTAGTGGGCACCTATAGTTCCAGCTACTTGAGAGGCTGAGGCAAGAGGATCACAAGTCCAAGAGTTTGAGGTTGCTGTGAGCTATGACACTACAGCACTCTACCAAGGGTGCCAAAGTGAGACTCTGTCTCAAAACCAAAACAAAACAGGCTTGGCGCCTATGGCTCAAGTGGCTAAGGTGCCAGCCACATACACC